CTCAATTTCTTAAGTTCTAGGTTTAGTTGCGTAGCAACAAGAATCACTGAATTCTACGAATGACGATGACACATCAGCTTCCACATTTCATTGTAGTCTGACGCCATTTTATAAGATTTTGTTTCTGAGTTATCTTCAACATGAATAAATCAAAGAAGCTTCCTTGTTTCCATCCTAAAGGCTCCCTGTAAACTCTAATTTCACTTCAATTTTAGTACTTCTGCTCCTGCTGTTCCCCTGCTTTCAGGTTATTTCCTCATCATTCAGACTTATTGTAGAACTCTTCTAGTATTTTAAGATCTAGAAAAAAAGTCTGTTCCTATTATTAAATTGTTCCTATAGGATCCAACCATCTATGACTATCTGCAATTCTTTGCCAAAAAGTAACTAAAATCATTTATTACCTGCCCACAAATTAGTTTCCTAATAGAGGGAAAAGAGTCTTGGCACCATTGTTAGCAAATAAAGATTAAAATAGCATTAAGAAGAGAAAAGATGGTAATAGAAAATAAAAACCAATGTGGGAAAATGTAATAGCTATATTAACTATCTGCCAGTTAACCAAGTGTCCTGGACTGCTTGAGGAAATGCATAGAAATAAGATTAGTTATTTATAACTCATCTCACTTTGAGAGGTTAACTGTGAAACAAAGAGGGGCTTTTCTATGGGAATGTTTAAAATCTGTTTATATTTTCCCACTAAACATTCCATATGAATATGTCTACATCTGCAATATTTTCCTCATTGAAATTTTTTATTTTCTTCCCGAATTCCGTAATACTAGCTCCTAGGAGAGTACATCTGACTATGAGTGTTCTGTTTTCTTTGGCCTAATTGAATGCTTCTGTAACCGTATTTCATTATCTGGATATCAGATCAGAGGAAAATGTAGGAAATCATTCCTAAATATTATAAGCATAAACTTGGATCTATTCAATTTTCTTTATGTGGTAGGTCTGGTTTGGAGAATGACTCTAAAGGATCAGTTTAGTCAATATGAATTAATTAAGTAGCATTGTTTTCCCTAATTGATTATTTTTAATGTCATATTTTTCCCAAGCCTTTATCAAGGTATAAAAAGATGTATTTGTTATCGTATAGATTTTGTCCTTGTTAACCAGAAAAAAAGTTGATAATATTTCTATTACTAATATCTTAGTTATTGAGTTCACAGTTACCCACTTGATGTCCAAATTTTAAGTTGTTTCAGTTATCTGAACAGAATTATTTTCTCACATATTCTAGTCAAGAAATCTGGGACAGAGTAAAAATTATTTGTACACATCAGTGAAATCTTATATTCTGGAACATTCCTAAGTTAGCACATTTGAGTATTAGTAAAATCTTAATAAATGAGGTATCAATTTTAAGTATTTAGAAGACAACTGGTACATATATAAAACATTTTTTCATGTATGTAGAATTTAATAAAAAATCAATGAAACAGAATTCTCATGTCCCTTTTTTTTCTGATGTTTTGGGTTTCATTGAGGCTCTTGTAAATACTACAAATAAGCCAATTTTTAATGAAATACTGTCTACTTAAAGCATTCAGATGTTTTAATGTTAATATTGCAGAGGTTTTATGGACATATAACAAGTCAAACATTTACACAAAATGGGAAATTTAGGAATTCCTAATTGTTTGGCAAACAAATTAGGAACTCACAGAAGTTTCTGGGAAAGAAAGCAGTCAACAAAAGGAAAAGACAAAATAAAAGGAAAATAAACATAAACTATAAATCTAATCTCAAATGTAAATCTGTTGGTCAGATCATAGACCTTGATCCCAAAATCTTGGGAGCAAAGTATTATCCCTTTGAACCAGAGTTCTGAAAATTAGCTGTCTAGTTCACTAAGTCATTTCGCATACATTTTAAGGTGCCTCAGAATCAGTTCACAGTGGAACTGGATGTCCTTGTTATCAGATTGAGAGCACAAGTACAAGAAGAAGCATGGTACATGGGTGTATGTCCTAGAGTTGATTAAAGTATTTATGATTAAGAATATCTGAAGCAATGTTTCTAGCCTACTTCTAAATCTGACTCTTATCAGTGTCACTGTCACTACATTTATTCCTTCTTCTAATCTATATATAATATAGAGCTGAATTTAGAGACATCCACATTTGGAATTGAAGCCTTGAGTAGGTGACTTTGGACAAAGCCTTGGTTTTCTAATACTGTCTGACCACATGAGATGCACTACTATGGTCTGAATGTTTTGTTCCCTCCAAAATTCATGTTGAAACTTAATCACCAATGCAACAGTATTAAGAGTTATGGCCTTTAGGAGGTGATCAATACCATATGTATAGTTCCATTACTGTACATATGAAAATATGTACCATTAAAAGGGGGCTTGAAAGAGGGAATTCACCCTTTTTTTGCGCTTCCTTCCCTTCTGCCATCTGAGGACACAGCATTCCTTCTCCCCAGAGGATGCTGCAAGGGACCATCTTGGAAGTGGAGAATGGGTGTTCACCAGAGAGTCAGCCTACTTACTCCTTCATCTTGGACTTCCCACCTCCAGAACTGCGAGGAATGATTTTCTATTTTTTTTTTAATGAATTACCCAATCTTAGGTGTTTTGTTGTAACAGAACTATGGACTAAAACACATACTAAGATGCTGTATGTAAAAAAGGTATCAAGCCAAGTCTTTTGTGTGTTTTTGTGATAATTTAATAGGGTGATGGTTTATGTTGATTTTGAAATGTTAATCATTTTATCAGAGGGCTAAGAGTGTAACTGTAAGAATGATTCAGCCCTTTTGAAAACTTAGTTTTGATATTAAACACCATTTACTCATTTTATTCTACCCCAGTTAGCAGAGACCATATAGACTTGAAGCATCATTTAAAACAAATTTTGTACATTTATCTGAGGCATTTTACCTATAAAATTGGAAGCTCTAGGATTACTAAAATTTTTATTCAGGAGAAAAATCACAATGTATATGGTTTTATTTTATTTGATTAATTTTGTTTGCTACACTTTAACATTATTATTACACAAAGGTAAGTTTTATTTTTTTTTATTTTATTATTATTATTTTTTGAGACGGAGTCTCACTCTGTCGCCCAGGCTGGAGTGCAGTGGCCGGATCTCGGCTCACTGCAAGCTCCGCCTCCCGGGTTCACGCCATTCTCCTGCCTCAGCCTCCCGAGTAGCTGGGACTACAGGCGCCGCCACCTCGCCCGGCTAGTTTTTTGTATTTTTTAGTAGAGATGGGGTTTCACCGTGTTAGCCAGGATGGTCTCGATCTCCTGACCTCGTGATCCACCCATCTCGGCCTCCCAAAGTGCTGGGATTACAGGCTTGAGCCACCACGCCCGGCCAAAGGTAAGTTTTAAATGCAAGGGGGTTATGCATTATTATATGAGGATAAGTCGTACTCCAATTAAAAATGTAAAAAAAATTTATAACATTATAAAGCATGGAAGCAACAACATAAACTTCACTTGCAAATGTTTAAATAGTCCTTGAAGTGTGAGCATAGAGACTTGCCCTACTTGGCTCCACTTGGATTATGACAATTAGAACTAAAACATGATAATGGAACCCAAGATACTGAGGAACATTTTTTCCAACCATATATTTATAATGTTTGAACCAATTAATACTATTACTTGGATTATTCTTTTCATAAATATTACAGAAAGTTATATGGGGCAGCATCAAACACTGTGAGACAGTTTGAGATGGTTAAAATGTTTTTGTTTTGTGAAGACAGTTTGCCGTCTTTAGTAGATCCTTCCCATTCAGAAATCAGAGTGAACAGCATACTATTAATTGTGTTACAGCCACTAATGACCTTTTTGTATAGTACATCAAGCATTTCCTTGAATATAAACTTAACACTAAATATCTTATTTTTTAAACTATTATTTTATCTAAGTAGATATTTGATCATTTTAAAATTTATAGTGGGTGTTGAATGAAATTAGAAAAGAAAAGCACTTATTATATTATATTGAAAATATGAACAGCCTGAAGGCTATCTGGACTTTATGGAAATGTTAACACATAAATCTCTTGCAGGTGGCAAACTTATATATCAGAGATGAGGATACTAATCTTTAGTTAACACAATAATTTATAACAACAAAATTTACTGTTAACCAATTTAAAAACAGGAAATTATAAACCATAAATTGTCTTTAGTTTCACTACACTGGAACAAACCACATTGTTCTACCCCTCTGGGTATTCCTATGTTCTTTACTGATGCATTTTTGACTTTTATTTTGTTTGAATTGTTGTTTTTTGTGGTAGTTGCCAGAGAATCACTTGAGGCTCAATAAAAGATATATTGGGAGTAAACACTGGTCTTTAAAAGTTGTCAGTGAACAGAAATTTTCTTCAGTAGTGAAATGTCAGTCCAATGGGGAAAAAAATACAAAGTGTGTGAATGGAGTGAATAGTGACATGAATTTTAGTAAGTCAAAAACAGAACATTGCATTTAGAGAAAATCATTTTAAAATGTTCTATGATAATGGAATGAGTGTCAACTATATAATTTGACCCAACAGAGGATTTAAATATAATTGTATATTACATCCTGAAGAAGAAGCAGGTCTGAGTGGGTTAGTTAACCAAAAGTGTTATCAAACTTATCAAACTTGCTCTGCGTCAGAAAATTTAAGCTCTTCTTGTATTAAAAAACTAAGCCTCAACCTGGAGTCGTAGGTTTAACTCCAATAGCAGATCATAAGCAGGTACAGTGACAGTGGGAAAATAAATTCAAAGAAAGAAACATGGGAAGTATTTTATAAAAATAGATCAACATCCATTTTATTTATTTCTGTTTTATTAAATGAGTGGCTTCTGAGAGGAGTATAAATGAATGTAGGAAAACTCATTAAATATATGCAAAGAGAAGAAAAGATGTTTCACTTCAAATTGTTAGCCTCTCAATCTCTTCTCATCTGTTTGTAATTAGCTTTCATTCTTGTCAGTCTCATACACGGACACAGCACTGTCTTTTTATTACTTACCCCCTTCAACAGGATTTGTGACACTCCACAGCTCTGTCATCTTGAACTCTAGTAACAGAACACTCAACTGATTTCCCTTCTGCCTTACTTGTGGCTCTTTCTTGATCTTTTGCTGGATGCTTCTCCTCTGTTTGACTTATTCATGCTGGAGTTCCCCAGGGCTCCACTCACCACATTCTGTCTCTGTGTGATGTCATCATGTGTCTGCCCATGACTTTCAAATTTATGTTTTTATACCTTACCTCTCAACCTTTGGGATCATATTAGACTGACTACTTCGCATCTCCTCTTAGGCATTTATAGATATTTTTAAAACCTGATAAGGTGGAGACAACACAAATGTCCATCAAAGTGTGAACAGACAAACAAAATGTACAAAATGCATACAATGGAAAATTATTCAAACTGTAAAAGGAATGGAATTTCTGACACAGGCTACGACATAAGTGAAATTGAAAACATTATGATAAGTTAAATAAGCCAAACACAACAGGACAAATATTGGATGACTACATTGACATGAGTTTCTTAGAATACTCAAATTCATAGAAACAAAAAGGAAAACGGTTATTTCCATTGTCTGCAGAAAAGGAAATGAGAACATGTTCTTTAATGGGAACAGAGTTTCAGTTTGGGATGATTAAAAATTCTCCAGATGGATAGTGACAATGATTGTAAAAAATGTAAACATACTAAATGCCACTGAACTGTATATCTAATAATGGCTAAAATGATAAATCATATGTTATGTTTATTTTTTAAAAGAACAAGAAACAATTCGTGATTTCTACCCTCATCTCTCATAAACTGCTACTTCTCCAGAACTTCTCTTTAGAGATAAAGGCACTATTATTCAATCAGCACCCAGTTGCTGAGGTCTAACACTTAGGAGTCATCCCCGAATGTCTTTCCTTGACCCCAACATGAAGCCCCTAGTCCAATTCAAGTGGCTTTGCTCTTAATGTATATTCCAAATCTGATCACTGATCATCTTTTTTACCTAAACCGCCTTGGGCTACCATGATTTTTTACCTATAATATTGCAATAGCCTTTTAAATGATCTTCCCACTTCCACACAACAGGGTTATTGGTCTTTCCAGAGTGATCAAAGAGAACTTAAAAAATACTTTATGATTGTACTTACATGAGATATTTAAGGTAGTCAAACTCACAGAAGCAAATAATAAAATGATAGTTTCTAGGGTTTGGGAATGGAATCAACAGGGACAAAATACAAGACAATGATTTTAGAGATCTTTTGTACAGTGTAGTACCTATAGTTAATAATACAGTGCCTGTATTATGTTAAAATATGTCAAAAGGAAAGATATCATGGTAAGCATATGTGCTGCATACACAAAAGAAATATGTATGGGCAGTTTTGGAGGTGACTATATGTTAACTACCTTGATAGTGGGGATGGTATATCCATGGATGTATGTGTATATCCAAACTCACGAAAATGTGCAATATTTTCAAAATCATTACAACACAATAAAACTTTAAAAATATGCAAAGTAAAACATTATTTACTTACAATAAAAATGTAAACCAAATAAGTTCACATTCCTTCCTAGGAACAATGGCATATAATCTTTCAAAATTTCTTATAATATAAAACTAATGTATCTTACCATGGTCTACAACTCCTTACTTAATCTACTCTTTGCCTGTTTTCAAACCTTACATTTTTTCTCTCTTCTTGATCTTAAGCCATAGTAAAAATGATCTTCATGCTGAATAACCATTTAATTTAGGGTGTATATTGCCCAGGTACTTATACTTCTGAGGCAGTATATATTAGGAGATTTTTCTCGTCAGGCCCAGGGAACTTAAATTATTCCAACTTCTGTTATCATCCTAAGTATCCAAAGGAGAGTATGGAAAAGTACCCAGGTATTGGCTGTTTTACAAGAACAAGACGTTAATACTCATTTGTTGCATAGTCCTGCTCCACTTTTCTCTGTCCACACTCTCATGTCTCTCATTGATGTCTTTGTATCACTCATTGTCATTTACTGTAGAGCTTTCTTAGTCATCTGTTGCTTGTAAAAGTTTGGTTCTGCTTTCTTAATATTCACTGCTGGCACAACACTGAGTAATCACAATCAAGAAACCAGAAATAAAATGTGACTCATAATGAAACTGTCAAGAGATCAGCAACATGATGGAAAAAGTTCTTTTGCAATTTACTAGAGGCAAGCTTATGACTGAAATTCAATTTTTAAACCACGCAGTACCTTTCTGTTCAATACTACATTTGGGACATTAGAATACATAAATGGAACTATGACTTGGTTCCTGGTCTCTAGAAAATATATAACCAACTTATACAATTTAAATATGAAAAGTATTGTACCAATATTATATGGCAGGTACAAACTATGTATTATTAAACTTATTATTGAAACATCAAAGAAAGATGCTGTGGGATTAGGGTAATTTTGAGGATTACCTACAGTTTTTGAGGATGAGTTTTGAGGATGAGAGAGGTTTCAAGACAAAAGGAAAGACATTCTAAGTGAACCAAATATTGTGAGGAAAAAAGTTTAAAAATTTGGAAAACAGAATACATGTAAAAACAAATTGAGGTGCTATTCAAATATATTGAATTATTTCTGAATAGAGGAGTGCAATGCTACAAATGAAAGCAGAAAGAGGATTATTGAGAATTATTAAATGGCATATTAATAATTTATATATTATTTTGTAAGCCATGGGCCAGGTAGTCTTAAGCCAGGTAATGTTCTCAGAGTAGAAGAATTCTGAGGATGTCTACCCTTGAAGACAAGATGTATAAGTCACAGGTTGTTTTTGTTTTTGTTTTTTTTTCTGAAAAGAAAATAGTTCAGGTGGTAAGGAAACTTGCATTTTCCTCCGACTCATAAATTTGAGCACCCTTTCATTGGTTTAATGGCCATTAAACAGTCTATTTTGAGATATCACTAAAGTTTTTTTCCAAATCCTTTATGGGCTGTTTTTTTCTTATTGATTTGAAAATATGTCTGCTTTGGATATGAGTCCTTTTTCATACATGCGTTGTGAAAAAGTATCTCTACATCTGTGGCCTGCATTTGTATTCCTTTAAGTATTTTAAATTTTTAAATTGACAAATAATATTTGTACATATTTACGGGGTACATAGTGGTGTTTTGGTACATATGTGTGGTGATCAGATCAATTAGCATAATCATCATCTCAGCATTTATTATTTCTCTATGTTGAGTACATTCAATAGCCTCCTTCTAGCTATCTGAAACTATATATTATTGTTAACCATAGTCATCCTACAGTAGTGCTACAGAACACAAAATCTTACTCTAATTTCATATATTTTAACAAAATTATTGCCTATTCTGCCCCTCCACCAACACCATTTCCAGACTCTTCTATCTTTTGTTTCTCTTTTTTCTTCTGTGAGATCAACTTTTAAACTTTCACTTATGAGTGAGTGTGATGTTTAACTTTCTTTCCTGGCTTAATTCACTTAGCATAATGTCCTCTCTCTAGTTCCACCCCTGTTGCCACAAATGATGGGATCTTAATCTTTTTAATATTTGAATATTTGTCTTTTCTAGGTATAATATGATGCCACTTATGAATTAACAACAGCTTTGTTTTTCCCTAAGAGTTTTTATTTATTTTATTATTATTCTGCCTACCACATCTAGTATCATATTCAGAAAAAGTGGTGAGAGGGTCCCATCCCTGTCTCTTCATATTTCCTGAAAAGCATCACATGATTAACAATTACATATGATATTTGCCATAGGTGCTTTTTTGTGATTTTTAAAGATAGACTTTATTATATAAATAGAATTCTCCTCTATTAATTGTAACTAAGAGATTTTATGAGTGGGTGTTCACTTTGATGAAATAATTTTTGTAGCTATTGAAATATGATTTTTATGTACTCTGTTAATGTGTATAATGGGAATTGTTCTTCTAAGATTTTGACATACCTAAAGAATAAACCATTTGACCATGATGATGCATTATTATTTATTTAAAATATTGAACTGAATTTACTTTATCAATATTTTAAGAAAATATCTACTCATGAAAGAAAGAATTGGGTTGGCAATTTTTTTGATGTGTAAATGAACCTCAGGTTTGGAATTAAGATAGCTTGACTCATTAAAAATTTTTGAACTACATTGCAGGAAGTCAAGGGCCCTGAATAGAGGGACCGGCTGAAGCTGCGGCAGAAGAACATAAATTGTGAAGATTTCATGGACATTTATCCCTTCCCCAATCAATACTCTTGTGATTTCCTGTGCCTGTCTTTACTTTAATCTAATCCCATCATCTCGTAAACTGAGGATGAATGTCACCTCAGGACCCTGTGATGATTACGTTAACTGCACAAATTGTTTGTAGAGCATGTTTATTTGAATAATATGAAATCTGGGCACCTAAAGAACAGGATAACAGCGATTTTCAGGGAACAAGGGAGATAACCTTAAAGTCTGACTGTCTGTGGGTTGGGCAGGAAAGAGCCATATTTCTCTTATTACCAAAAATTGGTAAGACAAATATTGCTGAATTCTTTCCCCAGTAAGTAATATTAATAATTAACAGCACTGGGAAAAGAATGCATTCCCAGAGGAGGCCTCTGAATGGCTGCTCTGGGAGTGTCTGCCTTTATGCAGATGTAGATAGGGATGAAACACACCCTAGTCTCCTGCAGCGCCCCCAGGCTTGCTAGGATCAGGAAATTCCAGACTGGCAAATTCTAGTCAGACCGGTTCTCTGCTCTTAAACCTTGTTTATCAATGACAATGTTTGCACAGCTGGACATGGAAGTTCATTAGTGATTCTAGTTTTACCCTGACCTTCTGATTTCGCCCTGACCTCCTGCCTTGTGATCTTTTGTTGCCCTTAAAGCATATGATCTCTGTGACACACACCCTATTTGTGCACTCCCTCCCCTTTGAAAACTGCTAATAAAAACTTGCTGGTTTTATGGCTCAGGGAGCATCACGGAACCTGTCGACATGTGATGTCTCCCCTGGACACCCAGCTTTAAAATTTCTCTCTTTTGTACTCTTTCCCTTTATTTATCATACCAGCCGACACTTAGGGAAATAGAAAAGAACCCACGTTGAGTATCGGAGGTGGGGTTCTCCTGATAGAACTATCCCTTCTTTTC